ATTACCGTGTTTACACAGTGATCCGCCTCGAGGGTTGAAGCCGCGAGGTGTGTTGAACCCGGCAATGTTATATCATGTAAACGGGATCCCAGTGCCGGGTCCAACACGCATCGCGGCTTCAACCTGGCTTCAACCCTCGAGGCGGATCACTGTGTAAACACGGTAATTATTCAGTGCGTATACAAAAAAAAAAGTATAATTATATTTATAACCTGTGTAACCATCAATTATATTTCATTTTAAAGAGTAAGTTATTTAAATAATAAATCTGCTGCCACGGATGACAGAGTAGCAGTCTATCGAAAAAGTGTTGTAAAAAATCTCCTGTACCAATTTAGTGATGCAATGAATTTGGGTCAAAAGCCTTTTAATACCCATTGTTATTTAGTCCGAAAACAATTGTTAACATTTTCGCATTGATTTTGTGCCTAAGAATAGAAAAGGTAATAACGTCAACTCAGACTCGAGCTAAGGCTTATTAACCAGCGAAATTAATGATATTCGTTTTGCTTTCATGACACAATCTTGGCTTCTCTCGCATCGTTTGTTTAAAGGGACTTGGTAACATTGTTAAGTTGAGAGAAATGGTGCTAAGGTAGTGACTTCAATGCTAGATGTACAGTTAAAAATGATCTGAAAGTTTGAGTGGAAACTGACCATTATTAATGGAAAAATGATCCGATCGATTTCCTTAATTCTCCCAGCTATTTGATTACAATTTAAGTACATTTTAGGTGAATGTAAATCGTCACAAAGCAATGAATTGGCTCTGTAAACAATTCCAGACATTTCAGTGTTGAAAGATTTTTAAAAGCCTTATTTTCATGGAAAAACGGTTGGGAAAAATTCAAAAAAGTTTGGGAGAATTTACTGTTTAATCAGTGTTAGAGAGTGTTGCACAATAACGCCTTCAGAGAAAACCATGAATATATTTGTGGTTTGAGAATTTTTTCAGGACTTTTTGCCTGTTTTAGGTTTAGTACACTAGAAGGAATAAAATATGTAACATTTCACACACAAATTACACATTTTTTCATCAACCTTCAACAATGTTACTGAGTCACGTCTTGGCAAATTGGACAAAGATTACTTGTATAGATGGACCACTGGCGTACTGATGGGGGGGGGGGGGGGGGGGCTTGGGGGCAGTCGAACCCAAAAAAAGAAAATCAAACGTGGTTTATTTCTAATTCGATTCCAGCGACATACAAAATGGTGCTGAAATGACATGATTTTCCAGGTTTTTTTCCCTCACTTTTGCCCATTATGCCATTATGCCGATTATATTCATCCCATACAAATCATGTTCAGATTGCTAAATAAGTTATTGTAATGCTCGCCCATTTCAAACTTTGTTGGACAAGGATATTGAATTTGCCTTAGGTTGGTTTTGAAAGTCGTTTGAGTGATTTTGTCACGTGTTATTTTAATCTTTGTTTTGTTCTTGTTTTGTTTCAAAAAGTATTCTAATATTTGGCTATTGTTTAATTTGTATATTGTTTTACTCGACTTTTATCTGAGCTTATCTTTATGCGTTTACGCAAGAAAGCCATTCACAAACATTTAACAAACGTATCTGTAAGACATTTAATCAAGGCATTTCTTCTAAAAAAAAATGAGCATGTATATCATTACATTAACAATAATATATCGACTAAAATAATGATCTGTTTTGATGTTATATATTCTTGTATGTAGAAGCGAAGCGTGTCTCCAGGAATTTACGGGGCACGGATGGGAGAGGGTGAAATTGCCTCCCTCTTTGCGTTTCTTTCTTTCTTTCTTTCTTCTTTTCTATCGTTTCTACAATTCCATTAGTGGGGAGGGGGCGGAGCACGTGCCCCTATGCGCCAAAGAGGCTACGCCATTCCTTGTTTGATTCACTAAGGTTATAACGGAAAGCAAAACATGGACTTTCGCTGTAAGCCGCTACATCAAAGCATAACAGGAACAGAAAAATTATAAACATGCTTCAAATTTAGTAGAACGAAAAGAATTTAAACGGTTTAAATAAACAAATATTGATAAACACTTGTACATCAATTTATCAGAAAAGATGTGCTAGTGACGAGCCATATACGCAAAGAAAACAGAAATTACATTGAAATAATTGCCAATAGTCATTTATTAATATCTCTCACCTCAATCCACCCAACAGTTAGTACATGCTTTTGTTACTTCGCACCTTGATAATTGCAATTCATTACTCTTTCGACTACCAGCCAACCAAATTAACCGATTGCAAAAAGTTCAGAATGCTGCTGCTCGCCTTGTAACTAACTCTAGAAGATTATCACATATCACTCCTATCTTGAAATCTCTGCACTGGCTCCCTGTTCAACAGCGTGTGATCTATAAAGTTCTACTCTTAATCTATCGTGCACTAAATGATCTAGCTCCTGAATATATTTCATCCCTTCTATCGCCCCACTCCGCAGGTCGTTCTGGTTTACGTTCATCACATAATATTAGGCTTAAAGAAATACGTACTAAAAGAAATTGGGGGGGGGGGTAAAGTATTTGCATCAGCAGCTCCTTTGTGGAATAAGTTACCTTTCTCTATTCAAACAGCCAACACTCTTTCTACTTTCAAAACTGGGCTTAAAACTCACCTGATGCTCAATGCATATGTTTAAATGTCAATGTTCTTTTTATACAATGCATACAAAACAAACAATCACACTGTGCCGCATTGTATGTACCTTGGCACCATAAAGTTGTGTTATCTAATGGAAGTTAACATTTAATATTTCTTTAATCTTAAGTATGTTGAATATTAATTTGAATTATTTGTATGCGCCTTGAGCATATCTAGAGATGGATATGTTGCGCTTTATAAATATTGTTATTATTATTATTATTACATACAGAGATACACATTCATATCAAATAATCGCCTATGACATGTGGGTAGGCCTTAAATTTTTTTTTTTCACTGAAATATTGTAATTTCAATTAATCGTAGCTACTGTGCGAGTGATTACATCTACGAGAGTGCTGCTTAAACATGGTATAGTGATTCAATAAGAAAACATCTTTGTACTTCAAACTTATTAAACATAATTATACCTCATCATTTAGGGATTTCCCGTGTAACTGGGATCCACGCACACTTATCCGAGTGCACGGGGGTACTGGTGCGTCGACTAGGCTTCTCATTAGTCACCTTTATGTATATTGAGAGTGTATTGAAATTAGCAATATCTCTTTACGGAAATAACATTGGAAGCTCATATTATGCATAGAGAATCTCGGCATGGAACCATTGATACAGAGAACAAAATATTTTCTGGATTATTCCGCTTTAACTTTATATGGGCACAACATTGTTGTTACTGAATCTTTTTTCACATGAAAGAGAAAGTTGAGTCCCGGTATTTATGAAATATAATTTGTGGGCTTTCTCATTTTTTTTTATGTCAGTTTGGAAAAAATATCATAGAAGAAAATAGAAATGCTCCAAGCATTGCCTTTCGTATGCTTTCATGTTCAAAATATCACGAGAAATAGATTAAAGGTAAAGACCAGTTATGGTCATGCGATTGCATTGTGAAAGAAACGTTGTGGAATCGATCAGAAAAGGTTGATCATCTAGCATCTAGCATCTGCAAGGTTCTGGAATCATCAAAATGATAAGAAATTTGGCCCATTCTTCGTAAAGTTACAAGCACTATACACAGAAAGATGTATATGGGACTATATCTCTCACAGTCCATGAGAGAAACAAATTTACCAAATATATGAATTAGTAGGCGGTTTCCCAGCAATTTTTTTATCATCATATAGTCAAAACATATTCTTTCACATGATTGGTAATGAGAGCTTCCATTTCATTTTTTGAAATTGGGGCGTTTCCAATACTGGTCTTTACCTTTAAATGTTCGGCCCAAACTGTTATGCCACATGTACGTGTAGTGCCATGTACACATTCTTGCGTGCGGTGTATGTGTTTCCAGCAAAATTTAGCAAATTTCTTCCGATTCTTATCATTCTAAAACTTTTGTTTGCATTTATTAATTTTATTTCTCAAGACTCCAATTCTAGTTCGTACATAGCAAGGTACATAGCAAACGTGGTTTATTTCCAATTCGATTCCAGCGACATACAAAATGGTGGTGAAATGACATGATTTTCCAGGTTTGTTTCTCTCACTTTTGCCCATTATGCCATTATGCCGATTGTATTCATCCCATAGAAATCATGTTCAGATTGCTAAATAAGTTATTGCAATGTTCGCCCATTTCAAACGTTGGTGGACAAGGATATTGAATTTGCCTTAGGTTGGTTTTCAAAGTCGTTTTTGAGTGATTTTGTCACGTGTTATTTTAATCTTTGTTTTGTTCTTGTTTTGTTTCAAAAAGTATTCTAATATTTGGCTATTGTTTAATTTGTATATTGTTTTACTCGACTTTTATTTGAGCTTATCTTTATGCGTTTACGCAAGAAAGCCATTCACCAACATTTAACAAACGTATCTGTAAGACATTTAATCAAGGCATTTCTTCTAAAAAAAATGAGCATGTATATCATTACATTAACAATAATATATCGAATAAAATAATGATCTGTTATGATGTTGTATATTCTTGTATGTAGAAGCGAAGCGTGTCTCCAGGCATTTACGGGGCACGGATGGGAGAGGGTGAAATTGCCTCCCTCTTTGCGTTTTTTTTCTTTCTTCTTTTCTATCGTTTCTACAATTCCATTAGTGGGGAGGGGACGGAGCATGTGCCCCTATGCGCCAAAGAGGCTACGCCATTCCTTGTTTGATTCACTAAGGTTATAACGGAAAGCAAAACATGGACTTTCGCTGTAAGCCGCTACATGAAGGCATAACAGGAACAGAAAAATTATAAACATGCTTCACATTTAGTAGAACGAACAAGAATTTAAATGGTTTAAATAAAACAAATATTGATAAACACTTGTACATTAATTTATCAGAAAAGATGTGCTAGTGACGGGCCATATACGCAAAGAAAACAGAAATTACATTGAAATAATTGCCAATAGTCATTTATTAATATCTCTCACCTCAATCCACCCAACAGTTAGTACATGCTTTTGTTACTTCGCACCTTGATAATTGCAATTCATTACTCTTTCGACTACCAGCCAACCAAATTAACCGATTGCAAAAAGTTCAGAATGCTGCTGCTCGCCATGTAACTAACTCTAGAAGATCATCACATAATCACTCCTATCTTGAAATCTCTGCACTGGCTCCCTGTTCAACAGCGTGTGATCTATAAAATTCTACTCTTAACCTATCGTGCACTAAATGATCTAGCTCCTGAATATATTTCATCCCTTCTATCGCCCCACTCCGCAGGTAGTTCTGGTTTACGTTCATCACATATTATTAGGCTTAAAGAAATACGTACTAAAAGAAATTTGGGGGGGGGGGGTAAAGTATTTGCATCAGCAGCTCCTTCTTTGTGGAATAAGTTACCTTTCTCTCTTCAAACGGCCAACACTCCTTCTACTTTCAAAACTGGCTTAAAACTCACCTGATGCTCAATGCATATTGTTAAATTTCAATATTCTTTTCATACAATGCATGCAAAACAAAAAAAGTCACACTGTGCCGCATTGTATGTACCTTGGCACCATAAAGTTGTGTTATCTAATGGAAGTTAACATTTAATATTTCTTTAATCTTAAGTATGTTGAATATTAATTTGAATTATTTGTATGCGCCTTGAGCATATCTAGAGATGGATATGTTGCGCTTCATAAATATTGTTATTATTATTATTATTACATACAGAGATACACATTCATATCAAATAATCGCCTATGACATGTGGGTAGGCCTTAATTTTTTTTTCTTTCACTGAAATATTGTAATTTCAATTCATCGTAGCTACTGTGCGAGTGATTACATCTACGAGAGTGCTGCTTAAACATGGTATAGTGATTTAATAAGAAAACATCTTTGTACTTCAAACTTATCATACATAATTATACCTCATCATTTAGGGATTTCCCGTGTAACTGGGATCCACGCACACCTATCCGAGTGCACGGGGGTACTGGTGCGTCGACTATAGGCTTCTCATTAGTCACCTTTATGTATATTGAGAGTGTATTGAAATTAGCAATATCTCTTTACGGAAATAACATTGGAAGCTCATATTATGCATAGAGAATCTCGGCATGGAATAATTGATACAGAGAACAAAATATTCTCTGGATTAGTCCGCTTTAACTTTATATGGGCACAACATTGTTGTTACTGAATCTTTTTTCACATGAAAGAGAAAGTTGAGTCCCGGTATTTATGAAATATAATTTGTGGGCTTTCTCATTATTTTTTTATGTCAGTTTGGAAATATGACGAGAAATAGATTAAAGGTTCGGCCCAAATTGTTATGCCACATGTGCGTGTAGTGCCATGTACACATTCTTGCGTGCGGTGTATGTGTTTCCAGCAAAATTTAGCAAATTTCTTCCGATTCTTATCATTCTAAAACTTTTGTTTGCATTTATTGATTTTATTTCTCAAGACTCCAATTCTAGTTCGTACATAGCATGAAAACAAAACATTTTCCATAGTCCTAGTTTATACAAAACTGCAACATAATTATAACTAATGTCTTTATCATTTGATAGACAAACATAAATACAACATGATTCATTGTTCATTATTTCACAATGTATAGGACCAAAATATATCACAATTACATAATAGGCAAATATTAACGCACTACACAGTTATTTCAACGCAAAAACTAGGACAATCATTCCTTTTTTCTTCTTCAGAATGAGACATATAACATATTATTATACAGAATTGAAATTATGAGTTTTACTTTAATTAATACACTATCTACCCAAAACCCCTCTCCCTTCACTTAACGGGGTACATCGATTCTTATGTACTGCATATTCAAATTGTACGCACTCTTTTTAAACAAGGTTATTCTTGACAACCTTAAATGTTGTTCGAAGCATAGCAACATATAATGTATGCAGACTGGATTCCAAGTATTGTAGTTCCTTCATTAATATCAGGGTAATGGAATTGGTCGTCACTAGGTCCCAAGGATAGAAACATCAATGATCAGTAAACCGGTCTATTGCTTCAGGACAGTTACTTTCAAAATGCAATCGAATGATCAGAACTCATCTGTTATCTTTAAACTGTATCTGAGCACAATAATTCTTGCTTTTTATCTTTTTGTGAGATAAAACCATTCAGTTCTTGGATACTGGTCACTGCTTCATGCTGAGCTGGGTCTTGATATCGATGACATTCTCTGACAGTCCCATCAACTTTCTGCTGATGTCATTCATTTCCTCTGCCATGTCCTCTATCATCATTTCAGTTGTCTTGATGAACTCAACACTCTCATCTTCCTGGAAACGAAAGATTCGGACAATGTTAAGTCACGAGATCGGACGCTCAATAGCCCGACAGCCCACGTAACCGACAATGTCGGTCTTGTAAGCCCTTTGACAACGTTTTTTAATAGTTTCACTAGACTGACGGCACAAGAGACTGACAGCCCTGTCACGGAATGACTCTTTTTTTGTTCTAAAAGTTATGTTTAAGACTTGTGACGAGACTAGAAGAAATAGTTCGGAGAAGAAGGGGAAGACGAGAGTTGTTATCTACGTAATGGCAGTTCGCCAACAGCGACGACAGTCGCTAACAGTTTAGCAGTTTGCTTGCAGTTCCAGCATTTCTATGTTGAGATGGGAACTCTTTAGATAATCCTTAAGGTATGTTTATTCATTGATTTATATATTTTATAATAGAGTGCTGTAAAATGCCACTGAAAGTAGTTGCAAGTTGTAGAGATTACAGTCGCACTATGGAAGCGATGGCCTATATGAATGTGTGTAGTGACGTGAAACGAATCGCGAACATGGATTCGTTGAAAGTTTGATTGATAGTTTAGGCGGTCTGTTTTGAAGACCTTTTCCTTTGTGAAAGATAAAGTAGTTTAAAATTGATGGTTGTCAGGAAGATGATATGTGAATTTAACTTAGTTATGAGCATGAGTATAGACTTCGAATAAGTTAAGACCAAACTATGTTGACTTGCGTATGTACGTGTGAAGGTATCTTAGTTACGACAACCTCTTCACGCACGATTTAATGTGCGGATGAATATCATTTTAGAGATAACGTGATAAGTTCATGATAGTCTCGTTTTAGCGCTTGAGAAAGTTTCTTGTTTATGTTATTGATTATTCTGTTGTCTATGGTTATGCATTTATGCTTCTTTAAAGATTCGTGGTTTATCGAAAGTTGGCATATTATTATAACTATAAAATTTAGATTTACTGACACAAGAATGGAACTTGAGTATATGTGGAAATTGGATTCCCAAGTGTTAAACGTATTGCAAGAACATGTATTTAGTGTTTTCATTTGTTGTATTTTGCAGGAATTATCCCACACAGTTGTTGAATTTCTCTTCACTTTCCAATGATGATCCACGACAGCGTCACAATAAAGGAACCAACATGAGTTAAACGGATGTCTCCTTTGTTTCATCATTGAATTGCAACAACGTGTTTAAAGCTAGAACTCACATAAATCCTTTGAGTCCGTGTTCCATCACAAGCCCCCTAGACCAATAGCCTTTTAGCCATGTTGAGAGGGATCACTATTGTGTTGGTCTCGCGGGTCTAGGTCTAGTGGACCTTTCAAGAGTATCTCCTTTTAATCCAATTTATTATTATAAGCATGCATTTATTTGTTTTGTCGGTCTCATCGAATGTTGGTCTACTGGAGTGACCCCAACAGAAGAATTTAAAATCAAGAAGAAAAGGGAAAACAAACAAACAAAGTGTCAGAATTTACCGTCCTCTCGAGTTCCTCAAGAAAGACGACCAACTGATCATGAGTTTCCCTGTAGCCAGTCAATTTGTAGAGGAGCTTGGACCAAGGCGAGATCCTGGTCCAGACCGGTATTACCTGGGACTTGATAATGCTGCTCTTCCACAAAAACATGAACCTGTTGTCTTGAAGGTCTAGGATCGCCTCAGCCTACAAGTATGGGTCATTGAAGTAGAAATGATGAAGAGAAAGGTTGAGTTCTGGAAAAGGTAAAACTTTTTTTCTTTCTTTTGACATGTTTGATGTCAGTTTGGACAAAAATGTAAGAGTAGAAATGTTACATGAAAAGGATCTATCTTAAATTTCCTCAGATAAAAAAGATTAGTGATATATATGTCAAAACTGCGGACCACATTTTGATACCACACGAGTGTCCCTTTTACTCATATTTGAGCAGTGTACATTATTATGTGAGTGATTTTCAGCAAGCAGATTGGTCGACTTACCTCCAGAGTACGTTTATACATCTTCGCCTTCGTCTGAATTACTTCGATATCGTAAACTGCTAAACCGGTCTGTAATATAAAGATTCGTAATTTAGTACGGACAATACAAACACATTAAAAACGATCACAAAGACTTTCAAGAAATAGACTCATAGGTCTGAATTCACAAAGGAGGTTTAGATTTAACCGATGGTTTAAACCAGGCGCGGATCCAGGATTTCTTAGGGGAGGGGGCCCGACTTTTTGTTTTCTTTTGCTCCCGAAAATTTGAAAATCGCGCCGGCCGAAAAGTCGCTCAGTTGGGGGGGGGGGGGGGGGGGGGAGAGGAGAGGTAGTGAGTACATTTTTGTTTTGGCCCTTGGGTTATGTAAATGAAGGTTGAAACCATGGGTTAAATGTAAACCTCCTTTGTGAATTCGGGCCAAAGGCAATGTCAATGTCTATCAAATTATTTACGCATCAGTTTGAGTTTGAGTGACAACCAATAAATATTTTAAAAAAAACAGACGGCCGTAACAAAGGTTGTGGTTTAACTTTGAGGTACATTTATGAGAAGTCAAACATGAAAGAGAGAGTACTTTATCACGAAGACTTACCAAGAGATTCATGATGAGGATGGGCATGAAGATGATGAAGATGACAAATATGATATGCGTGGAGATCGGAAAGAAGACCATACTTGTGAAGTCTTCAGATGGAACCGGCTTGTATAGGTAGTCAAGGTTGTGGAAAACGCCACTATATTCGATCTCTCCAGTCATCATTGCTAGGGTTTTGCCTAAGGAGTCCGCCAGGGTGTGGAAAGGTACCTATATAAAATATATCAAGAATTATCATCATCGTTTAGCTTCCATTTTTCCTTGCTGTAGGTTGGACTTTTCATTTGCCTTATAGCCTAGTGACCCTCCTCCGGTATTCAGCATCCGCCTGGGTGAGGTCAAAATGATCACTGTCGTCAAATTTTCAAGAATACTGAATTATATTTCCTTTGTCAATTTATAGATTTATTATAAGTAGTCATATACGACGAGAAGGATCAGAGAGAGGAAGCTGCCCTGCGGGACTCCATACGATACTGATAGCACGCTAATATTATTAAAACTGACAGGTACAAAATCTATGAAAAGGGAATACATATACCCACACAACCAGATAAACAATTGTTTTAGTATGAAAGGCTGTAAGTGATGTATATTTATAGTTTCACTCTAAAACGATTGACACTTTTAAAACTTAAACTGTATTTTTTTGTATTACTCTCATTGTATCATATCCGGACACATACCCCCTGGACATCCATCCCTTGGACATCCACCCCCGGATAACCACCCAAGTCCACTACCCCCTAGACAACTACCCCTAGGGCAACCACCCCTAGGGCAACCACCCTCTAGGACGATTACCCCCCGGCACAACTACCCCCCGACTACTACCGCCAGACAACTACCCCCTAGGACAACTACCCCCGGACAAAAACACCCTAGACAATGCCCCCCTAGGACAACTACCCCCGGACAACTAACCCCTAGGATAGTTGTCCGGAGGTAGTTGTCCTAGAGGTTGGTTGTCGTAGGAGTAGTTGTCTGAGGGGTAGTTGTCCGGGTGATAGTTGTACGGGGGTAATTGTCCTAAGGGGTAGTTGTCCTAGGGGGTAGTTGTCTGGCGGTAGTAGTCGGGGGGTAGTTGTGCCGGGGGGTAATCGTCCTAGAGGGTGAATGCCCTAGGGGGTGGATGTCCAGGGGTAGGTGTCCTAGAACCCTCATTGTATATTTAAAGATAATGTCGGAATACCTGATTTGAGAGTAAAATGCAGAAGACAACTGCAAAAGACAAAATGAATATGCCGGCAACCAAGATGAAGTTTAGAAGAGTAGATAGTACTTCTGTGGAAGAGAAATGATATACCACGAAAATATGTGTTCAGTAACTCGGTCAGGGCGATCGCTGAGGTTATTCGCAGGCCACGGAGCCGAGACTGGAATGGCATTTTTATTTTTTTATTCTGATAGAATGAATAATAAACGACTGCGGGAATTTTTAATGACCCCCCCCCCCCCCCCACCACAACCATTAAGAGTGCACCATGATACATCCTCATATAATTACTTGATGTATATCGATTCCGATTTTTGTAATGGGTCAAAATAACCATTTCCCAAATACTGGGTTGTTACAAAGGAGCCGTTGTGACACGAAGATCCCTTTTGTATTGTTTGTGGAACCTCTATTGATATTTTTTGGACACAATTAATAAAGAACCGTTTTCTTCCAAGAGTGTACGTGCTTTGGGAAAGGCTACAGCCTACAAGACCTAAGTTTTCTATCTTCCTTTTCGAACGAATTCTTTTATTTATCAGTCTTAGGAGCTGTAGGTCGCGCACGCCGTATGTTTCTTGGATCTCGTGGAATTGTCTTCTTTTCTATATTTTGTTAAGGTATTTTCTGTGTTTGTCCGTCTCCTTAAACTCGTAGCACACAGCCTAGCAATTGGTTGAACGATTGAATTTTGCGATTGATTGCACACAGTGATCAAAACAATCCATCGTACGATCAATTGCTAAGCTTTGTTTTACGAGACCGGCAACTGGGGTGACCCCAAAGGGTGTGAGCAAAAATTAGAAGTGGTCGCCCTTCCCTGTGGATCCTTTACATGTATTGGTGACTGGTAGTGATATATTTTGTATTTACCTAAGAACATGAGGACGTATATTCCGAGGAATGGGATGGTCTGGAGAGAGAGGATAAAGTTGAACCATGCCAGGAACACTGCAAATGCACCCAGTTGCCATTGCCATTCCTAAAAATAAACAGAAACCACAAGTTGTGTCCATTTATAGGAAAATGAAACCCAACATCACTATTTCAATCAAAATGACAGCTCCCATGTGAAAATGGCTATCAAGGAAACTGAAAACTTCGGAGAGATTGCTTTCCTTGCTATTTAATCAAACAGGGGTAATTTCAAGAATTTTTTTAACTGGCGGACAGATTCTAATAAGATGATCAGCTCATGTTTGTTGGGTTTCACTCTTCTCGAATATATATATACTGACAAGGTTGAGTTCTGGGTAAACAAATATTTTTGAGCTCTCTCATTCGTTTTATGTTAGTTTGTAAGAATAAGTAAAAGATTTGCCCCTGAAAAGGTGTACTCCAGAAGTGCCCCCATATTCGAAATATGTCGAAAATAAGCTTTGAATAAGGTTTGAACCAAATATTCATACCACTTGTGTGTGTAGTCCCAGGCGCGGATCCAGGGGGGGGGGGCGAGCGGGCCTTGGCCCCCCCCCCCCCCCACCCGCAAAAAAAAAAGAGAGAAAAAAGGAAAAGGGAAAGGGAAAGAGAAGGGAAAGAAAGAAGAGAAGGGAAAGAAAGAAGAGGAAGAAAGAAAGAAGAGGAAGAAAAAAAGAAAAGGGGGAAGAAGGAGATAGGGGGGCCGAAAGGGCCTTGCCTCCTAGGCTGTTAACCCCCCCCCCCCCCCCCAAATCAAAAAAATAAGAGAGAAGGAAGGAAAGGGAAAGAAATGACATAATTTCCGAGATTTTTCCTCACTTTTTAGTAAATACGTTTGTATGTGTTTGTTGGAGAATGACAAATTACTAAATTTACAGCCAGGCAAGAAATATGATTCTTGAGATTCCTACATGTCAGGCCCGAGGTGGGGCGGGGATTGGGAGCCTCGAGCTCCTTCCCCCCCCCCCCCCCCACTTTTTTGAAAAAGTATATTAAAGAGAAATAAAATAGAATGAGAGCAAGGAAGAAAAAATAGTTAACTGCCAGTGTTAAAAATGAATGAGGCATCTAAATATGCTCATCTGACCGTGATTAAATGCCTAAAACCCCTAAGCACCCGGGGGCTCTGCCCCTGGATTCCACCTAGGACCCTACGGCGGGCCCTTAGATGCTCATGTGACGGTAATTTAATGCCTAAAACCCCTGATTTTTTGGGGCTCCGCCCCCTGGAACCCACGCCAAATAGTGACCTGCCAGTGTCATAAAATATTAAGGTATACAAAAAAATGCTCATCTGACCTTAAAGGTAATACAAAGTTTTGGGAAATTTTGAAAATTGGGTGGATAGTGAATCTTTACAATTTTGATATATTTGGATGCCCCTGTGGATGTATTATAAGCACTAAACAAATTAGCCCCTAAAACACTTCTGTTTTCGAGAAAAATTGAATATAAAAATTTACCGGTGCTCCCGGTAAATTTTGATAAATTTCAAATAGCGCCTATGACCGTACAATGATAGCTGCGACCATGAAAATCTCAGAATATGTAGTTGGGATATATAATTTCCAAACGGGAATAGCTAATCGGTTTATTTTAGTCAAGAAACATTGTTTCATAGCTAAATTAATATCTTGACCTTGAGAGGGAGCTATACAACATAAAGAGTTTATTATTTATAATATCGTAACTTTAGACTCGATTTCAACCGCGTCAACGATCAATGTATATTGTAGGAACGCATATGCTTCCAATATGTTAATTTGAACCAAATTCATGACCCAATACTAAAACTTTGTAATACCTTTAATTAAAGGCCTTAAACCCCTGAGCTTGCGGGGTCGGACAAGGTATCAAAATGTGTTTATCTGACCGCAGGCGCGTAGCCAGGGGGGGGGGGGGGGGGGCGGTCCCCCCAAATCGGAAGAGGACGTAGGAAGAAAAAGGAGCAGACAAAGAACACCTTTGAAAAAAGGATTAAGATAGAGAACGGTACAACGCATCATCTTCTTTCTCTAATAATTTAATGAAACGTAAAAGCTTCGCTCAGGAGGGGAGAGGGGGGGGGGGGGGAAACTGAATTCAGACGAGGATTAAGAGTCGAGAACTGTACAGCCAATCGTCTTCTTTCTCTCATAATATTATGAAACTTAAAAGCTTCCCCGCTTCGCTCAGGAAGGGGGGGGGGACCTGAATTTGGACGAGGATTAAGAGTCGAGAACTGTACAACGAATCGTCTTCTTTCGAATGATTTAATGAAACGTAAAAGCTTCCGCGCTTCGCGCGAGGGGGGGGGGGGGAGGGGATCTGAATTCAGACGAGGATTAAGAGTCGAGAGCTCTCCAAAGAATCGTAATAATTTAATAAATCGTAACATTTTCTTGTGAAACGTCAAAGCTTCCGCGCAAAGCGCGGAAGGGGGGGGGGGACCTGAATTCAGACGAGGATTCAGAGGCGAGAAATGTTATACGAATCTTTAATGATTTAATGTTACCTTCCGCGCTTCGCGCGGGATGTAGGGGGAACTAAATTCCGACGAGGATTATTTTCGAGAACGTTATAACGAATCGTCTTCTTTCTCTAATGATTTAATGAATCGTAAAAGCTTCCACGCTTCGCGCGGAGGGGGGATACTGATTTCAGACGAGGATAAGTGTCGAAAACGGTACAACGAATCGTCTTCTTTCTCTAATGATTAAAGGAAACTTAAAAAGCTTCCGCGCGAAGCGCGGGAGGGGGGAACCTGAATTCAGACGAGGATTAAGAGTCGAGAACTCTCCAAAGAATCGTAATAACTTAATAAATCGTAAAAATTTTCTGCGCTTCGCGCGGGAGGGGAAAAACTAAATTCAGACGAGAATTATTTTTGAGAAGGGTACAACGAATCGTCTTCTTTCTCTAATAATTTAATGAAACGTCAAAACTTCCGCGTTCGCGGAGGAGGGAGGGAGAAACTCCCACCCCCCTCCGCATTACGTCACTGTTGGTCACCATGGGTGGTATTCTCATAAGTTAAGCCGGGACTAAGTCCAGACTAAACAAGAATTTTAGTTCACACTTCTATGGAATGCTAGGTTTCATCTTCCTCCTTCAATATTCATGACAAGGATAATCTACGAAAGATTTTGTTGAAATTCAGTTCATACTCATATTATCTTTTTCTTCCCATTTCATTGCAAAATTAATTTTTTGGACGCTTTTCATTGAAGGATTAAAATAATCTGTTCAGGGTAAATTAGTTCACAACAGGCACTCCATAAAAGTGTGAACTAACTAAGCACGCGCTAACTTAGTACGCGCTACCGGAATACCACCCCATTACGTACCAATATTTGGCTCGCATAATTTGAAATTTGGGCCCCCCCCCCCACCCACCCACCCTAAGAAATCCTGGATCCGCGCTTGTGTAGTCCCATACACACTTCTGTGGGCAGTGCGCTCAACTTCCAGCAAGATTGAGTCAATTCCGTACCATTCAAAGATGATTAAAACAGATCGCACAGTACACGGATTCATATTGTACAACATAATCAACAATGCCCAATGGCTCTCAGACAGTTCTATTCCTACACAATATAGGCCTAATTATTTGACCGGTGCTCAACTTAATCTTTAAATTGAACGTTCGCACTGATTATATCTGATATTAATTTGGTTTTGATGAGAGAAAACATGAGGAAAGTGAACCAATCACCTAAATAAAAATAATGTGTGTGCAGCTGGAAGGTATAAACCAACCACAAAGAATTCATGCAGCCTTTTATGGACTAACCATAGACATAATTGCATGGACTAACCGATGAGGAGAACAGATGAAATAAAGAATGGAATAAATGCTGCGCACAGGAAACCCAAGGGTTTCCATGATTTGGCCCCTATTTTATGCAAGCGTTATTTTAATTCTGGGGCGGTATTCTGAACCCTGTGTTATCTCTAATATTGTTGTATCTTTGAAGATAAGATAAAGTTGGTATTCTGAACATTGTTGTAACTTTTGTGTTATCTTTTGTTGTATCTTTTCTCTCATCTTATTGGCCGCGCCTGCGCTCATACTTTGGTGCGCTTGTAATTGTGCGTATTATTAATAAAGTGGCATTTAATTCTCATTTGCATATGCGCACGGGAGATAATATGTCGAGATAATTGGTATTCTGAAAGTTGTTGTATCTTTTATCTTATCTTATCTTGCATAGTATTTACAACAATATTTACAACAGGTAGGGGGTTGTTGTATCTTTCGTGGTGATATAATGGCGGCAATATTTTTTGCCCAGAACCAACTTCGTGCCAATAGACGAGTTAGAAGAAGATTGTGTGTTGACCGGAAACATCAGATGAGAACTTTCTAAGATATTACATGCTAGGATAGAACTATTTTCATGCTCTCATCTTAACCAATATAGTGAAAGCGTGATTTGTCTTCATGATCCACAATCAACAGCGCATAATGATGACGCGCGTAATAAGTGCTCAAATAACTAATTACGCCCAAGATTAGTATGCGCTAGGCGCATCTTCAGATATGGCATAAAGTATTCCTATTGGTTGATCTACTTATCATGCTTATATAAAATAGATTTTGATCGGTAGGGTCCATACAAATGGGCGTGTCATCAATGGTCAAAGATAAGATAGAGGCGGTCCTTCAAGAGATAACACCGTCCTTGTTTTCACGAAGTGACGGTAGTGAGGAAAATCGTCACGCAAAGTGAATGCAATTTTTTTTCACTACCGTCACTTCGTGAAAACCACAGGGATAAAACAATGTTCAGAATACCAACTTACAACAATATTAGCGCTGTGTTATCTCTGGAAGATACAACAAAAGATAACACAAAACTTACAACAATGTTCAGAATACCACCCCTGGACCCTATATTGACTTTTGTTATTCGCCTACTATAAGCGTTAAGCCGAGTGATGGCGCGATTCTTAGTGACTGCGCGATCCCACAGAACTCTGTGCGCGATCCCCACAAACCGCCGGCTGTTTGTGGGGATCGCGCAGTCACTAAAGGCCCGGTCACACAGCCTTTCGCGTCTGTATCGCGGGTAAAATTTCGCGATTTTGTTTTGCCCGCGTTTGCCCGTGGTGGAAAAATGTGCAAAATTGGCTTACCCGCGGTTTACCCGTGGTATGCCCGCGGAACAGACGTCGGCGACTGTTCCGCGTCCTTATCGCGGGTGAAGCGCGGCGGTACCGCGGCCTACCACGCTTACACGCGGTACACACGCTAATGCACGTGATAACAACACGGTACAGACGCGGAACAAACGTGCTATGACCGTGCTCCACCCGCGATTACCCGCTAAAATTTCGCGTCCAATTCCGCGTGTAACCACGTCTTAACCGCGGCCGTAGCACGTCCTAGCACGTTCGTTCCGCGTCTGTACCGCGTCTTTACCGCGTGTGTACCACGTGTACCGCCCGCGATTACCCGCGGTCTAAATTTTTGGGCAGCCCAAAACTTTTTCGCGCGGCCAACCGCGTGTGAATTTCTTACCGCGTGTAACGACGGGTAAAGTACGGCTGTATCGCGTCTTTATCGCGACCTCAAAGCGTCCAACAGCGTCTGCTTCACGGGCAGAAATTTTTGGCCGTGATTCGGCCGCGATACGCCCGTGGAGGGCTGTGTGACCGGGCCTTAAGGATCGCGCTATCACTCGGCTTTACGTTTATAGTCGGCGAATAACAAAAATCAATATATGGTCCAGAACTAGACTATGCAAGCGTGTACGGATGCATGGAGTACTAGAAGTCTATTCCATAGACATTTTAATTAGGTCTACTCACACGATTGAGGGTGTCTTTAAAGGTACTATGTCCCATTTGCAGCCAACCTTAACACTCATGTCACGTATGTCCTATCTGTGAAATTTAAACGTTCGCATCGTCCTATAATTCAAATTATGCAAGGAAACCCGTTTACTTTCGAGACTTCGCTGTCAGGCACTATCGAGTGACTGACTGACTTCTTTTTTTTTCATTTGGTAATAGCATACATAAAATGAGCTGTAATGGTATATGAGCATTTGTCTACATCAATAACACACTTCTTGTAATGGCCAAAATTAAACTGATTGAACCTTCGCGCAGCACAAAGCGTACGACCATTTGGTACAAGGGTCTGAATTGATTTGATTGTAATCACTAAAGTCGATTTGACAACTAATGCATGTTATTTTTTCCACTAAAAGACAATTTCAAGCCATTTCGTTTTGAGGGAAGGACCAAATTAGTACTATCTTTCAAATGACGTTGGAATTTAACCTTTCTATTTTGTTGGTTTGCAAATTGGACATAGTAGGAAAATCTCTTTACAGAAGTGCTATTTGCGGGAGCTCATATTTTTAATATAGTGTTACGCCATGGAACTTCTAACAAACGAAGCTAAACATTGTTTGGTGATTGGTTCACTTTCATATCAATATAGAGAATATACTCACGGCCTTTAGTGTGACGTCATGATACTTTTGATCACTAAATCCGGGGAGGATGAAGAGAATAGTTGATACCTGAATGCCAATCTCACGCAAGATACTAAGAAGACCCCGGATAGAGCTTAGTGTTGAGAGTCTGTACACCCACACGCGATAAAGCTGATCAAGAGAAAGTAAACAAGGATAACAAACCCTGAAATAAATTTTTCACCTGCAAAATTTATACAAAATCATATTTGATAGTGGTTTTCGTAGAGTTTCTGTACATCTATATATACGCTTTTTCAGAGATAAATATTCTATGAAACATGATTAAAGAACCATTTCCCCCTACAAAAATCCTACAAACACTCATGATTAGCTTTATTTTTTAAAAACTGTTATTGAAAAAGGATATCAAACTTGAAGCAAGTATTTGTTTAAACAAAATAAAAACAGAACATTAAAATCACAAAGAATATGAAGTAATGATCATTTCAGAGTCAAATATTACTTTCTTTGAGATCAAACTAATGGCTTGCCTCATGACCGAGGTACATCGCCAACCGACCTCAAAGAAATCCGACAGATTATTCGGTATTCTGTGTATAATTCTTCCCCAAAACGAAATGGTTGAACTCCCCCTCAATTTTTGTTCATGTGTGTTATTATTATTGGTGTGCACGCTGCCGCCCCATATCTGATGGAGCTAGAGGCGATCGCGCAAGGACCGAAACATGGAGCAGTTTTTCGTTGTGAAAAGCGTGAATCCTCTGAAATCTGGTGATTCCAAAAGATCAGCAACTATTTTAACCTCGACCAGTAAATCAATATTGAGAAGAAGAGGAAGACCAAAGATAATGTGGAAGGATGGTAAAGACTAAAAAAAGAATGTAAATAAGGTTGCTCTAAATGATGAGGAGGAAATATTGTGCATAACGGGAAGAAACGAGGAGAATGTCAACACGGGATGAAAGTCAGTAACCCCTATGTAACGTGTAAGTTTGTCAGAGGGAAAATGCCGACTTAAATAAATGATAATGATAAAATAGCAAAGAGTATATGAATATCATGGGAACCAATTTGATAGAAATTTGTATTTAAAAAAAGCCCCCGTCAGTACTAAAAGAACCCCCGTGAGAAGACTCTCGGGGCTCTTTTGTTGTTGGAAGAGCCCCAGTGGACAAAAAATTAATTTGAGCCCTGACAGGGACGAAAAAGGAACAATGGTCCTACGCGCGTTCTCACTTATCTGTAGGCCTATATTAAAAATTTAAAAAAATAGCAGTTTGCGGCAGCCTTGTCTTTTCTTACAAATAGCATGAAGTAGATGACAGTCAGGGTGAGGATGATCCAGGTGCCAACTTTCCCAAAGAGGAACAAAGCGATCGGATCCAAGTTGTCCTGCCACTTGGTGTGACCATCGGCCAACCAGGTGTAGTTGCTGCCGTCCCCAGCGGCCTGGACGTAGAAGGGTGGAGGGATGAAGAGACTGTGGCCCGTGACGAGGATTAGGAGGGTGGGGATGATGAAGAAATTGACCCAGTATATCAGGCGAGTGGCTTTCTGTTTGTGTCTTAAGAGCAAGCGCACTACAGGGTGATTCAACAATTCCTTACTCTCGTCCGTTTTGATCTGGAATAACATGTAAATAGAGTTTTAGCCAACAGCATCCATGTAAGAATACAAAAAGTACTGGGTGGTTAAACAAAATCCTTAGGCTCTTGTCTGATTTGATCTGGAATGACAAACATGTGAATTGATCAAGCCAACAACAGTGCGTAAATACAACAAAAATTTAAAAATGAGAGTACAGGTTCATTGCAGGCGAGTGGCTTTCCGTCTGAACATCAAGCGGACGACAGACCAGGATGATTCAACAATGCCTTACTCTGTCCGTTCTGATCTACAGTGGAAACTCGTTACATTGGACCATGAAATTACCTTGTTATACATGTATCAGGTATCCTGTTATATGAGAGCTCTTCAAAACGAATTTCTACTGTATCACACATCAATACTTGGTAACGGATGGGACACCAAATTGACCAAAATACCTCCGACTTGCCCATTTATCAAACCACAACAAAATCACATTTAAGTCCAAATTATGATACCATGAGTCGTAAAGGATGGTAAAGTGCGCGGTATACGGCGTCTGTCACGTTGATCCTTGCACTATCTTTCAGCGTTCCATCGTCTTGGAAATTGGTGGACCCCTATGAGAATAGCAATACAAGCATGGAATTAAAGTAAACTCCGGATGTTCGTAATTCTGCAGTTTTATCATACTCCAAAAATCATAATTCAGAAACTACAATAGGGTTTTGTTTCGTAGTTATTATACCCGTTTCATTTTTGACCCTTCCGAATATCGAAGCTTGCGGGTTTATGGACCTTAGGATCAATGAAAAGTTTGATCCATGAACTTTCGGCATTATGACTCTTCGGATAACTACAAGTAACCTCGAAATCAGAAAACGACAACATTGAAGTCATAACGCCGATTACGTATTATTTCAAAAATTGCATAAGATGATTACTTCTTTTTTTTAGACATAGATATTCAACCACACCTTGTAGAAGAAGATTGGCATACAAAAGGTTTAAGAAAAAGCTACAGTTATTGTACCACTATTTTTGTTTTAGTCGTTTTCACGAACACAATAATTTGATAGAGGGTTCCTGGTAAATTCTCAAAATGTATCATTTGATTAATTTCGGTGATATTTAGGAACGTAAACGTTGTGGTCTAGTGGATAATTCACCTGACTGTGAACCACAGGGTACGGGGTTCGAATCTCTGTCACGGCACCAACGTCCTTTGCCAAGAAATTAATCTACATTTGCCACACTTGACCCAGGTGAAGTAAAGGGGTACATGGCAGGAATAAATTCCTTTAAATGCTCAAGTGCCATAATGGCAGACATGCTTAAAGCCGGGGTAATAATAATGAAGCGCTAGGAGTGCAGTTTTACAGACATGAGAGCTATACAAGAACCCACTTTATCATTATTATCATTATTATTATTATTATTATTGCCATTTTTATTATCATCAAAAAGACAACTCACTAAAATATCTGTGAGATATGCTTACCTGTGTACCTATGCCACTACTCGTGTCGTCTGGGCCACCTTGGCTAAATGTATGTAATATCATCTCATACCCACTCGTTGCCATGGTATCTAGTGACATCCGGCCCCGAGCTGAAATATGAAGAGAAAGGTTGAGTTCCGTTATTAAATCCAAGAGTACATTACAATGTGAACCAAAACGGAAAGGGAATGCAGTCGAAGATTATAAAAAAGCACAAACCAAAGTGTGTAATTGACATGATAAAAAAAAGAGTATGCGGAGAAACAGATTGTAATATGATTATTGTACGCAGAAGATTATAACATCATAATATTAAAATATCTCATTACATCATAAAATTATATACACCTAAGAATTTGTAATCCACGTTCCATTTGGTAGGCCTCCCCCCCCCCACCCCACCCCCCCTCCTTTCCCCCCAATGTTTGTTAGCGACTCGGTAATTGATTGGTAGGGGTAGATCTTTTAGCATTTGTCATGTTTATATTAATGTCTCATTGGGGTTGATTACATGACAGTCTATTCGGTTTTTATGTTTGTTTGTTTTGTGTGTGTGTGTGGTGGGGGGGGGGGAGGGGCATAGACAGTCGTTTTCAAATCCCTTGCACCTTCTGCACGGTGTGAACATCCCAATAGTTTATATCCCCCAAGAGCTTTTATCGATATCTTTTACAATGTAACATTACTATGTTGCCAATGCGATTATTTTATTTTCATGAAATAAACTCGCGCCACTTTATGAATACTAAATAGCACATTGGCCTGAATTATGAAATTATGATATTATAATATTATCTATCATTACTATTCCAGAGCGAATCATCCTCCATCCAAGGTGAAAACCAGTCCTCCAGGAGCTCATAGTCGACCTTGATCTTACAAGTATCCTTGGAATCAGTACTGGTGTCACTCAGCCTCGTTATGCATTTGTCCAGGACAAACTTACCAACGCCTGAAAGGATAGAAAAGGGTCTGTTAAAATGCTGGCGGTGGTGGTGGCGGTGATGATGATTATAATGATGATGGTAATATCAGTAATAATAATTACAATTATAAAAATAATAATAATGATGATATTAATAGTTATAACAATAATACGTATTTTATATAGCGCATTAAGTGGATTCTCTAAAATGCTTTACAATGTTATGATTATCTCACCATCTTTACTCCTTTGGAGTATCTCTACCTTTTTGTACCGTTCATAGATATAGGGCAATGGCAATAGGAGTCACCCTTGCTTTCGGCTATCCTCACATATACCGATTTATATCCTGGATAGGGAGTGGCATTGTAGATTAATGTCTTATGAAAGGACGTTGGTGCCCCAGCTGAGACTCGAACCGTGAACAATGTGACTCACAGTTCGGTCATGTATCTACTAGACCTCGACACCACTACTACTCGACTACTACTTTACTACTCTACAATAAATTGATATACCTGGCATTGTCTCGATGAGTTTTCTCATAGGGGTGGTTCTGGTGTCTCCTTCTATTGTTGAATGAGTCAGAAGTTTGCGCCAATCTTCCTGGGATAACAACTTCACAGCTACCCTCCTATTGAAATACAATGTGAAAAGTTAGACAAACTGATTTGAGCTAGGCCTACATCATTCGTTTCATACTACGACGACTACTACTACTACTACTTATTGTACTACTACTACTACTACTACTACTACTATTACTACTACTACCACTACTGCAATGTACTACTATTGCAATTTACTACTACTACTACTACTTCTACTACTACTACTACTTGTACTACTACTTCTACTACTACTACTACTACTACTACTACTACTACTACTACTACTACTACTTCTTCAACTACTACTTCTACTACTACTACTACCACTACTGCAATGTACTACTATTGCAATTAACTACTACCACTACTACAACAGCTACTATTACTACTACTAATACTTCTACTACTTCTACTACTATTCTCTACTGTAATACTCAATTAACCTCTGACATAATAATAACGCACGTTTCAATAAGATGTCAGCGAAACGAGACAATTGGATTCTCCGTGAAACAATGCCGAGATAAAAACCTACTCGTGACCGTTGTTGATGGCGTGGTCGAGGCAATTCAAACCTTTGTCATCGTCGTCGAAGAACTTGATCTCATCTTGACTCTGTTTGAGAAGCAGGTCGACGTTGAACGGGTCTCCTCTTTGACACGCATACATAAGTGGAGTCACCTGGAACGATGGCAACATTATTAATAATATGATAATAATAATTATGGTAAACACAGCAACAAGTCAAAACAAAAACAACAAAAATAAGAATGATAATAATAATAATAATAATAATAATGACGACGATGATGATGATGATGATGATGACGATAATAATGATTTGGGTATACTACCCCGAATAAAGCTAGTGACTTCAGTGCTCACAGCATCAACAAATTTGCTTTTACCGGAACCCATTTAACACCTGGGTGGAGAGTGGCAAACATGACTTTGAACTTGAGCGGGCCTATACAAGTATCCTTTTGTATCTTAAGACGACAAACACGATCGGAGAAATCAACTAATGGTAATTTTAATACCCTTTTGTAGTGGTTCTCAAACTCTTTCTTTGACGGTCAAGCAGTGATTTCTATGAAAGCTGTAAGGCCCGAAAAACACTTGTACACTGTAGATGATGAGGTTTGTTTTTGGTTTATATCTGATCCAAATAGAATTGTTACAGTTAAAAAAAAAACAGAGCCGCTAGTGCTTCCACTCGTGTAGAGTTATCTGAAAAAGTACACCCAATTTCCTGGAATTTGAAGAAATTTTCTTTAAACTTTCAAAATGCCTTTTACGTGGATTTTTTATTAAAATGAATCGCTATGACGTTTGAATATATATATATATATATATATATATATATATATATATATATATATATATATATATGTATATATATATGTTTATATATTAATCATTGAGTGGGCTTACTTCGCTTTCTAATGGATCCATACAACATGGCAGAGCTTGAGGGGCCTGGCATAGCCTCTGCCGATGGTTAGGGGCGGAGCTGCAGGATGCTCTCGAGTTTATTTGACTTTCAAGAGAGAAATTGTCTTTAAGAGAGAAAAAGAGGTTTTTTCTAAAATAAAATGAAAGTGCTCTTGAAAGTCAAATAGCTCTTTCATTTCATTCTAGAAATAACCTCTCTTTCTCTCTTAAAGACAATTTTAGGTGATGGAATGTTCAATCTAAGGACTTTTTGTACTCTTTGAAAGGAGCACACAATGCGGGCAGTGCAATTTAAATTTCAAGGGAAAGATCAGAGTTTTTATCGCTCTTGAAAGTAAAATTGCCCTTTCATTTCATTTACGAAGTACACTCTAATCCATCCCTTGATATTTAAATTGCATTGCCCCTATTGTGTGTTCTTTTTAAGAGCACAAAAAACCCTCAGATTAGGCAGCAAGTAGCAGAACATGCCCTTAATACTAGACACAACATTCAATAGTATGATGCCCACATCATTGAGTTTGAAAGGCACTTCTGGTCAAGAAAGGTAGAAGAAGCATCTGCATAAAAAGGATGAATCCTTCACTGAACAGGGATTCTTGCTATACATTATTACCTTTCTTCGCTCCAGTGATCTCGAGGCAGCAGACAGCAAGAAATTGTGCGATTAATAAAAGGTCCACGGGAGTGGTTGTTAGAAGCTTTAAAGCTCATCAGTACTAGTGTAAAGGAGGGATTAGACCATCCTGAAAAGTCACTGGTCAGATGGTTATCTCATCAACTCAGCTCTCAAATAACATAAGAAAAAGAGGATCATGGGGGACCAATGGTCACCGATTAGGTATTTTTTGTTATATAGAGGGCGCAAGTAGCTACAAGTAGTGCACTGGGCCTTTAACTGTCTCACACTCTCTCTAATTTTATACAACAAAAGGTTGTCTTTGGAACCACTTCTATCTTTACGGATGGGCTGCAGGGGGAGAGCCTTTGCCGGGAGTCTTGGGGCGAAGCCCCAGGGAAGTTCTTGAATTTTTTTAAAATTAGGAAATTCAAAATAGTCGTCACGATCAATACAAATTGTAATTTCCTCCTTAAAAGTCACTAAGAAAAAACATCTCTTTCTCTCTTAAAACAATTTTCTAGAACTTTTGTTTTTGTATTATTGTACTCAGGCGCGCCGGAAGCAGTTTGGGATGGGGGGGGGGGCAAATATTCCAGGGGGCTAACATTCCAGGGGGCTCACCTTCCAGGGGCAGTGACGTAATGAAAACAAAAGTTCGGAAGGGGGGGGGGGCAGAAGAAAAATCTGCATCACCACCAGTCTTACACGTTACATGCAGGTCCCGCGGAACGTTTTTCAAAGTGGAGTATTATCGATAAGGTAGAGCGTAAATTGGCGTGGGTTCCAGGGCATGAGCCTCGGTAGGGGGGGGGGGTCAAGGGGCTGAGCCCCCGGAAGCTCAGGGGTTTTCGGTATTTAATTACGGTTAGATGAGCATCCAGGGGCCCTCTTTAAGGCCATAGACGTGTTCCAAGGGGGGGGGGGAGCCCCAGAAGCTCAGAGATTTTAATATTTAACTACGGTCAGATGAGCATCCAGGGGCTGCCTTAGGGCCCTTGGTTGGGTCCAGGGGGCAGAGCGCCCGGAAGCTCAGGGGTTTTAAGTATTTAATTACGGTCAGATGAGCATCCAGGGGCCCGCTTTAGGGCCCTTGGTGGGGTCCAGGGGACAGAGTCCCCGGAAGCTCAGGGGTTTTAGGTATTTAATTACGGTCAGATGAGCATCCAGGGGCCCGCCTTAGGGCCCTTGGTGGGGTCCAGGGGACAGAGCCCCCGGAAGCTCAGGGGTTTTAGGTATTTTATGACGGTCAGATGAGCATCCAGGGGCCCGCCTTAGAGCCCTTGGTGGGGTCCAAGGGGCAGAGCCCCTGGAAGCCCTAGGGTTTTAGGTATTTAATTACGATCAGATGAGCATCTAGGGGACCGCCTTAGGTCCCTTGGTGGGGTCCGGGGGAGAAGCCCCCGTAAGCTCTGGGGGTTTAAGCATTTAATTACAGTCAGATGAGCATTTTTTATACCTTATTTGTGACATTGGCAGGTCACTTATTTTTGTCTCTGTCTTTCTTTCTTTTTCTCTATAACATACTTTTTCAAAAAGGAGGGGGGGGGGGGGGCTCGAGCCCAGCCACTTTGCAGACCATGACATAAAGGCTTCTAAATAAGCGTATTTTCGCCTGAATGTAATTTGGGAATTTCTTTTTTTCTAACAAACGCATAAAAAGGTATGACTTACAAAAAAATGGAGAAAAAATGCCGGAAAATCATGTCACAACATCAACATTTGTGAATCACTTGTTTCGAATAAGAAATACACCCCCATCAGTACGCCAGCGTTCAATGTCTTCTCACTCCTATAATAAAAAAACGGATACGCTTTCCCATCCTCGCACAATATGTCCACGATATGCGCGTATCGCTATTATAGAGACCTCTATTGATAAATACCATATAGGTGGCATGCGCAATGTTTATGAAATTTAATTCCTGTGAACTTACCTTTTTCTTTGAATGGAATTGTATATGTGATTTAAAGATAAACTTGAGTTCTGGTAATGCGATTGCATTGTGAAGGAAAAGGTGTGGAATGGATCAGAAAAGTTGATCATATAGCATGTAAGTAATGGTGTGTAATGCAAGGTTCTGGAGTCATCAAAATCATCATAAATTTGGCAGAGTCTTGGTAAAGTAACAATCACTTACACAGAAAGATGAATATGGGACAACACACATGGTGTCGGGGCTAGTACTACCCTGATTTCCTTATCTTTCTATGCTCATTACTCAGCCAGTATACTCTTTCTTCCAAAATTGTTTGGCACATGACATTTATTTGTAATCTTGAACATTCAGTGTAAGTTTCGTTAGATTCTGTGAGAATTCATTTTCTTTTTTTACCAGAACTCAAGTTTATCTAATTCAGGTTTTTATTATTGTTACGTTCTTTTGGATTGAAAATACAAACCATGTTTACTCCTTTACTGTTTTTTTTTTTTTTTGGGGGGGGGGGGGAAATGCGTCTTGCCCCCCCCCACACTTTTTTGACTGGAGGGGGGGGGGCAACTGCCCCCCTGCCCCCTACTTTCGGCGCCTTTCGGCGCCTGATTGTACTTTCGTCCGCAGACTTCTTAGGCAAATTTGATTCAATTTTGATTTAATTTAGTTTCAACCATAAAAATACATATACAATAATTCATGGAAAAAGAAAAACATGGGGTTTGAGCCCCTAAAGAAGTTTGAATACAAACTTGTGGTTGGGGCCCCAACCTATGACATATATATCGAGAATTTGAAAAATCAACAAAAACAACATTAACGAGAAAACAAATATACACGAAAAAGATTATAAAGACCTATATGTGAGCATAAAACATTTACAGCAAAGCACCAGCCATGAGCGCACATGGACACGGCGTCAAGCGACACTGCGTCCCTAGCTATGCGCCCTAAGCCGGTGCTTTACAGTATTACAAAACATTACGAAACATTACAAAACATGTGGAGCAAATTATTGAATATTCAATCGGGCCAACTCGTCGGGAATGTAATCTGTAAGTGTAAATTTTAGTTTCATGTTCTTCCTTTTTTTCTTTCTCTCTTTCTCTCTCCTTTTCCTTCACCCTCTATTTTCTTCGCTTTTACATTATTCTCTCTTTCTCTTTTCATTTTTTCCTTCCATCGTTCTCTTTTTCCCATTTCCATCTTTTTAGGTCGCCCAATAAGGGAGGGCCGCTGCTGATTGGACCCCCCCCCCTCCGAATGTATACGTTGATGCAGGCAATACGCATTACTTGCGCTGTGATTTGGTTGGTAAATTATTATATCTATTTGGACTGGATAGATATCGCGCACGTGTAGCGCACGTTTCGCGTAGTCCCATACACATCTTTCTGTGTACAGTGCTTGTAACTTTACAAAGACTTGGCCAAATTTCTTATCATTTTGATGACTCCAGAACCTTGCAGTACACACCAATACTTGTATGCTAGATGATCAATCTTTTCTGATTGATTCCTCAAGGTTTCTTTCACAATGCAATCGCATGATCATAACTGGTCTTTATCTTTAAGAATCCTTTAGAATACCTTTACTCTATAAAAATTCGGTATTTTCTTTAAAAAATAGGAATTTATAGAGACTCTGCCCCAGGCGGTCCAGATTGGCATGCCCTGCGGTCCGGACTTTGAGAAGCCCTGCCCTATTGGATATAGACATCATGTTATACCTCATTGAAATGTTTGCACATTTCAGTAGGTGTTGGACGATGCTAAGGTTTTTTTTTGAAAGTCTCTGCAATCGTGTAAGTAACACACACGCACACACACACACACCACAAGAAACGAATTCACAAAAACAACAACAACAAAGATTTCTTTTCTGCGCAACAATAAAGTCAGTTATTGAATAACTTCAGAAAAACTGACCATTCAAAAAAGTCACTCACTTTAGAGTCATCCTTTTCTCCTGCCAATGACTTGTCACCTTTCAAGAAAAGTTTGGTCAATTCTCTATGACCTCCTTTGATCGCCAGGTGAAGTGGAGTTTGTCCCAACATATTCCTGGTCGAGAGAAGAAAGAAAAAAGAGTCAGGTTTGTATTTGGTGAAAGAAAAAGCCTGTGCAAGACTTGTTTCCAATTCCTCAAATTTTCCCCATTATATCATGAGCCTTTTAAAATGAAAACATATTAGTTTGCCAATGAGGCGAAAATATTGCATGCAAAATACTTTTGCTTATTTACCAAGCAGTGAATGATCAAGTCCCTATTGGTCTGAATTATCATCTTTTAAAGTGCGCATATTTTCACATAACTTACGAAGTACACAGACACGCTACTTTTAAAGATAAAGACCTGTTCTGGTCATGCCATTGTGTTAAAAGGTTGATCATCTAGCATATAAGTTTTGGTGTGTACTGCAAGGTTCTGGAATCATCAAAATAATAAGAAATTTGGCCCAGTCTTGGTAAAGTTACAAGCACTATATACAAAAAGATGTATATGGGACTACGCGACACGTGCGCGATATCTATCAGGTCCAATTAGATAATAGATAATAGATAAATTACCAAATATATCAATTAGTAGGCGGTTTCTCGGCAAAATTTGTATCATCACGTATTAGTCAAAACATATTCTTTCACATGAATGGTAATAAGAGCTTCCATTTCATTTTTGAGAGGGGGGTGTTTCCACAACTGGTCTTTACCAGCTGCTCTACTCTGTTGGAGCTTAGACTCCTGGAGATTATGCATTCATTTATTTCGCTCCAAATCTTTTGAACAGCCTCCCACTTGTAATTATGTAGACAACAACTGCATTAGTCGTGAGAGAGGATTTGAACCCTGTATCTGATGCTTCATAGTACATGGACTTATTCTCTAAACGACCTCTACCTAGACATCTTCAGAACGAACATACCCCTCTTTGAACACGGCATCGACCTTCTTGAGCCTAGTATTAGCCGTATCCAAATTATCGAAGATACTAGGACAGGGACCTTGTGCTTCAATGTCCATGGACTAGTCCATGGACACCTTCTGAACAAACTCACCCCTTTTTGAACTCGACATAGTCATTTTTCAGCATAGCTTTAGCAGTATCCAGATGACCTCCTTGCGCAATCAGGTGCATAATATTGTTATTTCGGTCGTCTTTGAAGAGGAAAGCAGCCTTGCGCCAAGCAACGAATTGTTGAAGACTCCTATAAGAGACAAGAGGTACAAGAGGTTGCAGGAACATGTAAATTCATGTTAGTTGATTCCAATTGATGATAAAGTAAGAATGACATAAATTGATAATTATGTATTAAAATTACAATATGAACATTTAGGTCTCCATGCTAGGTGTGGTTTAAAGGCCGTCGCCACTACTGGGCAAGAAGGGATTAGACCACACAGCGAGCCAGCGAGGTCACTGTGACAGGTGGCTATCTCATTAACTCAGCTCTCATTTAACATAAGAAAAAGAGGATCATGGGGGACCAACAGGCAACGATTGGGGAAGTTTTCTATATAGAGGGAGCAAGTAGCTACAAGTATGGCAGTGTGCCTTTAAACAACAATTCCTCCTGACAGATTTCTGACCAAGAAGAGAAAGGAAATGCAGCCAACTTAGTCATATTATTAGCTAAAAGTGAATAAGTGAACGATTGCAACCAGAAATGAAAGAAGTGAAGACACATTTCAGAAGCCCTGTCCATCCCCCTCCCCCACAAAATAAGTGCTATCCGTACTGGACTGTTTGAATCACAGTAGGCCTTTTTTTTGCTCCTCCTGCGGCCATGGTCTGAATTGCGCGCTAATGGTGGTTTCAACATGTCAAAGCTTATTAGTACTAGTTTACAGGAGGGATTAGACCGCCTTACAAGGTCACTGGACAGGTGGTTATCTCATCAACTCAGCTCTCAGTTAACATAAGAAAAAGAGGATCATGGGGGACCAATGGTCAACGATTAGGCATTGTTTAATATAGAGAGGGCGCAAGTAGCTACAAGTAGTGCAGTGGGCCTTTAAAAGTTTCCTTGAATCTTACTCTGTTTGTCCCTCAGCTGCACAAAGGAGTGTGATTCGTTCTATTTCGTCGTCATTGATGTTACCCATAGAGATATAGTCAAACTTGTTCAGGAACTCCTGAATGATAAGGGAGAAAAAAAAAGATTAAACGCATGTACATGCATGTACATTTTCTATGATTTAATATTGTGTCAGATCGTAATGATAAGATGTTACGTTGCATATGCATTCATCATAGCCATTGTTTCATCAGGTTTTTGATATTAAACATAAACTTGTAATACCGGGGCTATGGTCCCAGTCCGGACTTATTGCACGTCATATACAATTTTACAGCACAATATAATGTACACTAATTAACATTTATACTTCGAAGTAATTTCTTCTAATTATAACAGTCGCTTTCTGCTCCAGCAGAACAGTATTTAAAAAAAATAACAATGGTGATAATAGCTGCATTTGTATTGCGTACATATTTATCTAAGGGAATGCCTCAGGCACCTACAAAGTGCTATTTTACCCTGGCTTTATAGACCAGCTGCTCTAAAAGCATTCGTAGCATACTGCCAGTAACCATACCTATGTGGAAAGTGGCGAATGTAGATTAATGTCTTGCCAAACAAAGGGCATTAGTACCGTCCAAGCAAAAGTGCTGCGGCATCCTATTGAAACGGTGTGTTTTTATACACGCACTGCAATGTGATGTCAGAGAACTTGTACCTATAACAGTTTCATGAAACGATACCCTGTTTCTTTTATTTTAGCAACATGTTTAAAGGAAAATAGACACAAACCTTAAGGACTTTGGAAAGGTTCTTTTCGGCCGAGATCCACTCTAGGAGTTTCAGTATAGTGGATTGATCCTCCACATGCTTCAGCAGCACAACCAGACAATCACTCGACCCTCTCAAGGCTGTGTACTTAAGCAGCGAAGGGCTCCCATCTACTACATCACGATCATCTATACTTAGTGGCAATTCTCCGTCATGACTAAAAGAAAGAACGTGAATATTTGTCTTTTGACTCATCCAATTTATAATTAATTTGGAAAATATGCTAGGACTAAAGAGCAGCTAACGCAACCAAGAATGGCGATGAATTATCTTTTCACTTCATTCAATTTTATTTCATTCATTCAGTTCTGATTAGAAATTACAAGTACCACATTGCAGAGACTTTCGAAAACTACCTCACATGAAATTTCAATGCCATTATTTGTAGATACGATATCAAGTTTGGCAACAGTGTTTGCACATTTCAATGGGTGATGGATAAAGCTACTGAAATACACCAGTTTACGGTTGTATCAGTGCGCATGCGCAGACAGCTGACCTCGGGTCATTGGCTTTGAAACAAAACCAATGACCCGAGGTCAGTGGTATTTATGTGTAAATACACCAGTTTACAGTTGTATCAGTGCGCATGAGCAGACAGTTGACCTCGGGTCATTGGCCCCGGAACAGGGCCAAATTGGCCCTGTTCCGGGGCCAATAACCTCTGACCTCTGGTATTTATGCGTAAATTAAGATTGCGCCCATGCAAATGATGATATGCGCGCACAACGCAGCGCGCAGGCAGTGATATCATCATAATTTGCATGGGCGCAATCTTAATTTACGCATAAATACATGACTCCTAGGTCATTAGCTTTGTTTAAAATGGCGCACACAACTGTAAACTGGTGTATTAAGATTGCGCCCATGCAAATGATGATGTGCGCGCACAACGCAGCCGCGCGCAGGCAGTGATGTCATCATAATTTGCATGGGCGCAATCTTAATTTACGCATAAATACATGACCTCTAGCTAGGGCATTGGCTTTGTTTAAAATGGCGCAAACAACCGTAAACTGGTGTATTGCCTTTGGTTGATGTTTTCGAAAGTCTTTGCGATCGTCTTATATGGTACATGAAATCTATTCACAAAAAGCAAGACTTTTCTCAAGTGGAGCTTCAAGATAAGCATATGCTTCAGGCCTTGTGAGCCTTTTAATCACAAGCACAGCCAAGGGGTTGCTCGAATACAAAACAAAACAAAAAAAAAAAAAAAAAAAAAAAAATAGGGAGAAAATGGACAGACGGGAAACAGATATATATATATACATATTATATATAGAGAGGGAGAGAGAGAGAGTTAAAGATATAAAGAGTTCAGAAAAAATAGAACCTCGAGACTATGAACCTTCGGAATTAAAGTGCGGATTCATAGAAAATCACAAATATGGCAAATAGCGTATTACTAGAAACTGGTAAGCTAACAGATGGCCATCGTGCAAGTTTTAGTTCAACTACATATCGGGTGATTTATAAAAATACAAATAAAACAACCTCTATAGCATCTAGGATATGCGAGAGATTCGCCGGAAAAATAACGATGTTTTAATGCCGTCACAATATGAACCAACCCTGCCCAAGCAGACGACACCCCATAAAGAATGAACATAATTGCAATGCTTTTATTTCTCAAATTATAATGAGTTTAGTGTATATAAATGTGATGGAATTTTACATCATTTAAAAAGGCATATGACCCCCATTCTGAAAACTAAATTCTTTTGTTTGTAAATACACAGGATAGGGGGTAATGAACAATCAAAGAAACCACACTTTCAAATTAAAAAACCTCCGGAATGATAGCATGGACGTCATTTGTTCCCTCTTGAAACGCCGAACATGCCGCGGTGTATGCAGCTGAAAATATAATGGCGCCCTATTTTGTTTACAAGCGACAGATTCCTTCTCCTTCTTTTTTCCTTGCATTTTTCATCCAAATAATACCATGCACGGGGTTTAGAGTAAGGCAATAGATTAAACATTTCGCCTGAGGGTATTGAAGTAAGAGAAATAACTGAAGAAAAGATGAAAAAACAGGCAATGAAATTGTGTGAGATGTCATGGGACATCGTCTGCTTGTGCACATCATGTTCAACATGTGACGTCATATCTCAGCAGCGACCGGAGAGCTTTTCAGGTGCTATGTCTGGGCTGTATCTAAGCGTTTTGTAATTGTTAATAATCATTACTTTGAATGTTGTCTAAGCATTCGCTCTTGATAACCTTGGCCAATCAAAGTGTCACCTTTGCAATAATGACATTAAAGTTAGTTTTTTAAATCAATGAATCTTCTCTTTAAGAACCTTCTAAAAAACAGACCCATGGGATCAATGTACCTTCGGATTTATGAACCTGTGGGAGAATGACTGTCACATTACCCAAGGAGTTCAACTCCCTGCATAACCCCTGGAAAATTTACCTTTTTATCATTAAGCAGATCTCTTCGGCCAACTCTGGATAGTTCCCCCTGCATGCATAGTGAAGAGGTGTCAGTCCCTTAATAGTCTTCATGTCCAGGAGTTTGGGGCATAGTTCGTGGAACAAGATCGACAAGTTGAGGTGTCCTTTCATACATGCTGTATGCATCACATTGGTGTCATACCGGGCCATGAGACTTAGGAGATAGTCATGGTCTTCTGTTCCATCCACTTCATCGTCAGGAGCCACTGGAGGTCATCAAACACATATCAAAGGTGATACGTTGTATGCTCCAGACTTTCTTTTGTCATAGGGATAGGGTTGCAATTGGGATTTAGATTAGGTTGAGGGTTATGGTTAGGGTTAGAGTTTGGTATAGATTTAGGTCCAGGTTTGAAGTTAGGAACTGAGGAGGAAATTGCTGAGGAGCATTTGTTGCTGGAGCATAAATCGGGGGGGGGGGGGGGGGCTATAAGGGTACTAAGGAAGAGCATAATTCACAATGCTTAACCACACTGGTTGAACAAGACTATGATATTAAATGACTGTTTTTATAATATTGGTACCAGTTATTAGTATTAATGTGTTTAAATTTGTGATAAGATGTTATACTTACAAAAATCAAGGCAGTATTTGACAAGCGTCTCGTGTCCTATTTTGATGGCTTCATGGAGCGCTGTTCTTCCGTACACGTTCTTCACCGACAGGATCTGCGTGTATGTAATCAAAAAGTATGTAATAATAATATCACTATACTACTACTACTACTACTAATAATAATAATAATATTAAGAAGAAAAAGTGGAAATAGATGATGTCGAATTTTCTTTTCTTATACGTTGTTAGGTAGCTAAAAGCATACTTCATATATATTTTGGTAAGATTGATGAAGAGAAGGGTGGTGTACTTTTATTATTTTATTTTTGGGTGTGTTACTTGTTGTGTCTAGGTTTGGGCCCCCGCCGCCCCCTTTCTTTCAAAATCGGGGACCCACCCCTAGTTACCTGGATTCTGCGAATAAAGTCCCCTTACCTGTCGCATGTTGTACCCCTTTTTCTTGCATGTTGTAAGGAATTGTAGGGCATACTTCACATTCCTTTTGGTGAGGATGATGAAGAGAGGGGTGTCCTTGGACCCATCGCCTGCCAGGGGATTGGCTCCGTGGTCGAGGAGAAGTAGAGCCGTTTTAAAATGATTATTATGGCATGCAATGTTGAGAAGCGTTGAGTTAACTCCGCCGACCTTAACAGATTCCTGTGAAATTAAACAGTGGTAAAGTGAACGAATGATGGTTGTGGTAATACATAAAAATGGTAATAATTATACTGAAAATGGTAATACAAATGATAATCATAAAGATAATAATAACAATAATAATAACAATAATAATAATAGCTATAATAATATTAAAAATAATGATAATGATAACAAAGCCACAAAGCCTCTTATTATCCACTACAGCACAACACATCTATTATTACTACTGTGCAGACACCTACATCTACAGACCATTTCAAGAATCTTCTGCAGCCCCATAACATTTGCTAGAGATCGTGGATTGTACTGGCTCGACTCGTCTCTATGAATTATATACATATGAATATGTTCAATGCGTATAAAAAGGTGGGTGCATAATGTTTTGTCTTGTCGGGAAGGAATCAGTCAGTTTATGTTCATGGTAACATTTCTGAAATGAATTACATAACATTAGGTATACCCCAAATGATAATTAAGACCCACCCTTCAAATAAAATGAATTTATTGCGCGTAGATAATATTTAACTCACCCTTTATGCCATTAATTAACACGAAAATAAAAACAAAACAAAAACTAAAAAGCGAAAACAAACAGAACGAAACAAAAGCGAAACAAAACTAAATGATTAAACAACAATAACAACAAAATCACCGAAACTAGGCTTAAGGAACAAATAAATATTGATACATACGTCAACTTTAATATCTGAAAGCGATAGGAGAGCTCGGATCACCATCTTTTGTCCCCTGAATTTAGAATGATTACAAGCCAGCTGGAGAGGTGTTTGGCCTAGATCGTCCTTTTCATTAACAAGAACACCTTTCGATGCCAAGAGCTCTATCATTTTGACTTTGTCCTGTGCCTGTAAATGGGAGAACGAAATTTTTTACATTTCCGTTAAAGGTTAGGAGGGCGGGTAAAACCATTGACAACTACTCCCAATAGTTCGATCAGTTTGATTTTACTTTTCAAATTTCATTATTTCCAATATTGGGAGGGGAATCCGGGGAAAACCATTTTATATAAGTGTTCCCTTCGATACCAAAAGCTTGATCCTGTGCCAGAGAATGAAAAACATTTTATTCCTCAATTTTTTTTCTTCTCCGAAGTTTGGAAGGGTGAATCCTAGAGTGAGCCATTAACAAAGTACCCCCTTGAAAATAAATTTTCAAGGTTGGAGGGGACAAACATTTCAAATTTAACATTTTCCCAAGATGGGAGGGGGTGAATCTCCAGGGAAACCATTGCAAAAATGTCTTCTTCGATGCCAAACGTGTGACCAGTTTGACTTTTTCCTGCGCCTGTCATCATCGTTCTTGTAAAAAGACAATGCACGTCTGACATATAATTCTATCACGTTAACAAATATACTGGAGCTTGGCTTTGACCAATTATCAATAAAAATAAAACTTTTTTGGTAAGGCTTATTAAATCTTTGGGTGAGATATGAGCAAATGATCAAATACCTAGTACTTCCCCTTAAACTCACCTGTGTTTCGCTTCTTGCTTTGTCACTGACTACAAGATGTATTGGCATTCTACCGCCTGCTCCCTTTACCTCAACGTCTATAACAAAAGATAAAGTGGAATACTGGGCCCCATCTTATGAACACTTGCGATTAATCGTAACTTATTTGCGATTGATATCAACTGTTTACGTAAGATATAGGAGATTACAAACGTGCGATTGATCAGATGAGTTGCGATTGATTCGGATCAATCGCAACTCTTTATAAGACGGGGCCTTGGTCATGAGATAACAATGTGATCGAAACTGTCTGGAAGTGCGTAGAATGACGTGAGCTTTGGAAAAGAAATGTATAAAAACTTGCTGAAAATTATATACACTGCACACAGAGATGGATCTAAATGACTATGAACTAGGTTTGATCCAATCTTTTCAGGGCGTCATATCATTAGGAACCTTTGGAAAGTTGAAACCTTTTCCAGTTTCGAAATTTTGAACCACCCGATATTGCAAATAATGTTTCGTAATTATGAACCTTCGGAGTTTATACGAATCTCTTGAAGAAAAAAAAACAAGAGCTACCCCCCCCCCCCCCCCAAAAAAAAAAAAAAATAAAAAAAAAATAAATAAATTAAAAAAAAAAATAATAATAATAATCGCATGAAACGTTTACCATTGAAATATGAAACTTCGGAAAAGACAAGAGCCCGCCCCCCACGACCCCCCACCCCCCCCCGAAAAAATGAAAATATTATGTACATGTGTATACATATATATATATGGGCAATTCCACGGTAACGGAAGGACACTCGGACAAGATTTTTGAACTTCAGGTTCATACTAAAAGAAATGTTTTATTAGTATGTATTAAACTATGGGGAACAAAATGTGTTTCAGTCAAGTGGAAAGCTTCATCAACTTCACAAAGTTTGGATAAACACTAATTAACTGGAAAAACCATGTCCATTTTTATGTCCTTCCGTTACCGAGATAATTAATATGCACATTCTTAAACTACTTAACTATAATGACAATTTTTTGGGGGAGAATTAAAGGCACTTATATAGGTATTATATCTGTACTGTTTCACATCTTATACTAATAAAACAATTCTTTTAGTATGAACCTGAAGTTCAAAAATCTTGTCTGAGTGTCCTTCCGTTACCGTGGAATTGCCCATATATGTTTCCCTTACAGCGTCATTAGAAGGACAAATGTAGTTACAAATGAGTCATTAAGTAGACACGGTCATTAACAGGACATGTTCATGCCCTGTTAACGATTGATCAATAAAATGACTGCCCTCGACGTATTTTTTTGCAGGCAGAGGAAACTGATAGGCATCCCAAGAAACAATAGGTTTATTCATTAGTTTAATTAGTTATAAAGTGCGTCCCAGAAAAAACGAAACCGAGAAGTATCGATGTTCTATCATAACTTAATCACAACTATAATTAATGAATGATACATATTTGGAAAGCGTAGAGTCTCCTCTTTCATGTGAGGCTACTCAGATGATGCATATTTCACGCATGAGTGATTAAAAGCAATTTGAAGGAAGGAAACCAAAAAGACATTTGGCGGGCGGTATCTGAATTTCGAAGAAAAATTCACATTTCTAGAAAGTTGAGTTTCTGCCCTTTCATGTGACACCTCAATCAAGAAAAATGAGCGAGGAATGACAAAGTTCTGTTTGTTTAAAGTAGTGCTTGCATTTCCATAATTTTATTAAACGGATTCGTTTTCACTGGCTGCCCGCCGTATCAATAAACGAAATAAACAAAAGACTTAACTCCGTTTCGTTGACAATCAGCCGTAGACGAGAGTCTTCATGCATGGCTGATTGTCAACGAAACGGAGTTAAGTCTTTTGTCAAATCTGCTTTTTGCTACGGCAGGCACCCAGTGAAAACGAATTCGTTTGTTAAAATTATTAAAATGTAAGGGCTACTTTAAACAAACAGAAATTTGTTATTCCTCGCTCATTTTTCCTGATTGAGGTGTTATATGAAAGGGCAGAAACTCAACTTTCTAGAAATGTGAATTTTTCTTCGAAATTCAGATACCGCCCGCCAAATGTCTTTTTGGTTTCCTTCCTTCAAATTGCTTTTAGTCACTCATGCGTGAAATATGCATCATCTGAGTAGCATCAACTGAAAGAGGAGACTCTAAGCTTTCCAAATATGTATCATTCATTAATTATGGTTGTGATTAAGTTATGATAAAACATCGATACTTCTCGGTTTCGTTTTTTCTAGGACGCACTGTATATATATATATATATTAGTTATATATAAGGGTTGGGGTAATTTGTATACCAGTTTTTATGATGTCCTGTTTAACATTTGGGGTTAAATATAGATGTCCTGTTAATGTGCCCTGTGAGGTTATATATATATATATCATAAGACGTTTGCAATGCAAGTTAAGTTACTTACCTCCACCTTTTTCTATGATAAGTTCAAGCCATGGAACCAGTGCTTTGATACATGCATAGTGGATGGCACTGTTGCCTTTGCTATCTTTGGCACTAAGCTCCCCGGCGATGCCATCTGGTGTCAGATCACTGAGAAGGTTCCTTGCGTTATCTACGTCAGGACGTCTCGAGCTCACCATCTGCAAAGGAGATTGCCAATGAAAATGATACTTTTGATCTCAATGCAAAAATCTTCACCTACGAAATGTTCAGCTGTTCAGCAACAACCTTTGTCAGTCGTGTGAACCTTGACTTTTCTGACGTCATGGCCAAGAGCCGGATCATAGAACTATTTTCCCCACTTTGGAGGTCATCAAATTCAGGAATGTTCTTCCTTCAAAAAAATTGAATCCGCCCCTGTGGATTACGTAATATGTCAATATAACGTTCGCCCATTTCAAAAGGTGATGCGCTGGACTATTGAAATTGCCTTACGTCAATTACTTTCAAGTCTTTCTGAACGTGTTTGTTACCTTTAGCAATGAAATGTGACCGAGTGTTTTCATCCGGATCCCAAAACGTCCCCGCGCAGTAATTACTTCCGGTTCAGGTTCAGATTGTGAAGTGGTGTCTCCCTCGGTACTGGAGCTATCGTCCGAGTAGCGGGCTGACCGTCCCTTGCTGGACTCATCAGAGCTTGAATCATCGTCATCCGAGGAGGATGGGTGAGCAGGAGTCTGCCTCAAGTACGCAGGACTTCGGTTCGGACGTCGCTTCACCATGCTTCAAACTGCGAGAGGACTGGGGTAGATAGAGAGGGGGAGAGAGATAGAGAGGGGGAGAGAGAGAGAGAGATAGAGAGGGGGAGAGAGAGAGAGAGAGATAGAGAGGGGAGAGAGAGAGAGAGAGAGAGGGGGAGAGAGAGAGAGGGAGAGGGGGAGGGGGAGAGAGAGAGAGAGAGAGAGGGAGAGGGGGAGAGAGAGAGAGAGCAAGAGAAGCGAGAAAACCAAATCACAACACTTGTGGACCGAACACTATAGGATGCGTTCAATCGAATTTTCGATGCTAGAATCACAAACATGAATCACAAATCAAAACGCCGTTACAAAAAGCAAGGTCACTGCGGTTAGCGTTCAAGCGATCATCAACGCTGATTCTAGCTCATTTCGAGCCCAGCCACTGCGCCTCACACTGCGCAGTTTGATCCAGGAACTTCGGCGCGCGCTTTCTGGAATTGTTTACGGCCGACTGTCGACTGCTGTATTGAGCATAGATCGCAATAATAAAACAAAGAAAGAGAAGGCGATAGAAAGAAGGACACAAAAAATAACATAAAGACAGAAAGAGAAAGTCGATAGAATGATTAAAACAAAGAATAACATAAGAGAAGGTGAAAGAAGGAAGAATCGAAGAATAACATAAGGAAAGATAGAAGGAGAAAGTGATAGAATGATGAAAACTAAGAATAACATAAGAGAAGATGATAGAAGGAAGAAACAAAGAATAACATAACGAAAGACAGACAGAGAAAGTGATAAGAATGCTTAAAACAAAGAATTACATAAGAAAAGGCGATAGAAGGAAAAACAAAGAATAACATAAGAATAGAAGGAAGAAACAAAAAATAACAAAAGAGAAAGTGATATATAAAAACAAAGAATAACATATTAAGAGAAGTTGATATAAGGAAAAAACAAAGAATAACATAAGAATAGAAGGAAGAAACAAAGAATAACATAACGAAAGACAGACAGAGAAAGTGATAGAATGCTTAAAAAAAAAATTACAAAAGAAAAGGCGATAGAAGGAAAAACAAAGAATAACATAAGAATAGAAGGAAGAAACAAAGAATAACAAAAGAGAAAGTGATATATAAAAACAAAGAATAACATAAGAGAAGTTGATATAAGGAAAAAAACAAAGAATAACATAAGAATAGAAGGAAGAAACAAAGAATAACATAAGGAAAGACAGAAAGAGAAAATAATAGAAGGAAAACAAGTAATAACATAACAGAACAACGCAAATTGCATAAAAAGCAGGCGCGCGTTTTTTGCCCAAACCGGAGCAGGCCACGATAATGACGCCATAGAATCATGATTGAGACGTTCGTTCAATCGAATTTTAGCGATCGTGATTCTGCAGAATTATGATATAAAACGCAACTTTTTTTTGCAGCGTTTCATGTTTGTGTTTTTAAACACGTTTATTTTTTACCACCGACGAAAAAATCACGCATTGCGTTTTTTAAACGTCTTTAGAAACCGTGATTCTAGGGTGAAAAAGTGTCGATTAAACCAGGGAGGTGAAAGAAAAGGAGGCGAAACTCTTGTAATTTATTCAAACGCATTCTTGAGTTCTAAAGCGTAACAATGGGATGTGTAACATTCCACTTGGCTTTGAAGTTCCATGTTCCGAACCGCGCTTCCACTGCGGGGACTTTCGGAAGCCAGGCACCAGTTTTACATTTATTACAAAATATTAAATTACCGGCAAAATTTCAGTGTAAATCAAAAACTTTATATGGGAATTTTATTGGGAATAGTGCATGAAACAAATTTTCAAATTTAGAACTCCGTCCTTCCTTTAATTTGTGTGCCAGAGTTGGTAAAAGAAAAATTACATCCTGTCAAAAACTCAATATTTTAGGATGATGCGCTAATTTGTGCATGCTTTAATGTCCCGTTATTTGATCCATGACTTACAATCTTCAATAACATTAAGTTTGCTAATGCGTGTTTTCGCGTGTTTTTTGTATTTTTCAAGTTTAAAAAAGGATGAAAGTACACAAGTTTGTGTTCGCTTGTTCTACTCTTTACACATTCAACAATGGATGAGAAATCATTAGAAGGGACAGCGAACAGTTGCAGTGATACCATTTTCTGATGTAGGAATTCTAACTCCTGAAATTTCATGCGCTCTTTTATCTCACCACCTGGTCAACAGTTGCAGATTAGCGCATAACTTTTCGGCGGCTTGGAGCATGGGGTCAAAGGAGAGCGGCTTGATTCCAGTCCTTCTCTATCACGTCCCTGATTAAACGCACCCTATATCTAACCCTAAGCCTTGCATAACCCGGAGCGAGTGCCGCTGAAGCCTCAGTCGGACCACTGAATGGAGTATTCATCATGATGGCGCATAGGATATTCCATTTTCTTTAAACATGATATTTACAAACCCTTTTAGAACAGCTACGTTACATTTATAGAAATTCTCTGAACAGAAGAGGTGATTACGAACACTAACTTACCCCGGCAGAATGAAGTTGAAGAGTATATACAGATCTCTGCTTTCTGAAATGTTAACCTATGTCTTGCCTTCTTACGAGACGATATGAGAATGAGAGCTGAAGGCGGAGGAGAGGGGTTTCTTTGTTTCCAGTCACACCAAACCGACATGATACAGTTGGATGCCTCTATTCACCTATTTACGATGCCCAAGTACCAATAGAGAATAGCTTAATCGCTCTGAGAAAGACCCAGACTCCTACATTAGCCCGAATAGCCGGAGTTTGGGGCGGGATGGCGTCGGCTAATTGGCGGTGTGATTGAGGTATAAGATTTGACAACGTAAAGTTATGTAGATGCTAGCGCTTTTATGGCAGGCTCTTTTACGAGATTCCCAAACCTATGACGTAACATGACCATTTGAAGATCATTTTTTGGTGGACCTTTATAAAACGTCTTTCAAGTAAAGCTATTCTTTCACTTGTCGTATTGTGGTCAAGATCGATAGGCCTATATCAGGAAGACGTAAACACTCATATATACCTTTTTGTTGAAGGCCTACATAATATCCTTGATTCCCATAATATAATTGCATTTCATTTCATTTCGTTTTTTTACGTTTCATCTCCTCTCATTTAATTTTCATTCATTTCACTTCTCTTCATTTCGTTTCATTAGATTTCATTTTGTTTACAATTTTATTTCATGTCATTTTCTTTCATTTTATTTCATGTCATGATATTTCATCTCACTTCATACCATTCCATTTCTTGTTGTAACGTGTGAGCGTCCTTCTCAGACTAATAGGGACTTTTAGATTGAGTGGACGAGAACACGACGAACGCCGACTGATCATGCGTGTCAACGTACTTAACTGCCCATGTTGACTACAATTAAAAATCTTTTACATTGCACTCGACGATATACATGCATGCAGGAAGTGACACTATGAACATCACGGACAAAGAAAGAGGACAAAATATACAGTTCCTCATTCTACCCTCAACAAAAGAACATTCCTTCAATGCTATTATGTAAAAATGTGTAGAACAGGTGAATATGCATGTGACACCTGTTCTACACATTTTTTACATAATAGCAGGGAAGGGATGTTCCTTTGGCTACCTGAGGAACTGAATACTTCATGCGCACGCGGCATACTAGTACCTTGAGCATGTAAAGGCGCTATATAGATATCAATATGTATGTATGTATGTACTAGATTTAGGAAAATCAAGGTTGACGCATTCTCGATCGCCGACTGAGACGACGCAACGCATGCGCAGTGCCTTAAAATGACGTCACACGTTGCAGTCAAAGCTGTCGACGTGCAAATCTAAAAGTCCCTAATATCAAGAGAGGGCAGCAAATAGGATAGGCCACCGAGAGAGCTATACACAGTTGTAACAAGCGCAAGCCAACGCGGTTAGTGGTGAGTGAATTAACCATGGACCTACTACACAAAGAAACCATGGACATTCATATAGTTCATTGAACTTCACTCCGCTAGCTAGATCCTTCATAGAGATACTACGTATACACCCAACGTGATAATTGTACATCAAAACACAATATGTACCATGAAACCTTTTCGCATATACTTATTTATGATTCTAGTACTTAAAACAAAAACACCGTCTACTTTCCTAACAGTGACAGTTGAAATACATTTTCAAAAGCAAATTCATAGAGGTACAAACAAGAAGGGAACCATGTGGGTTAAATGCAATTACTGGCCAATCAAGAGAAACTTCTGGTGACGTCACTATTTGTCCCAAAGCTAGCAATGACATAGCCCTGGTCAAACTGAACATGTTCCAATGTATCATATATTTATTTATTTTTTAATGCAATTTGTAGCAAGCCTCTCAATAAAATAGAATTAAATTAAATGATTTTTTTTTTTTTGGTTTTTAATCAAGGAAAAAATGCATTCATTCACGCACGGGGACCTACCCCAGCCCGAAGGCAGTTCTACTTTAAATCCGCGCACGCTCTTTATGCTGTAGTTGATAGTCAGTATTTGTAACTAAATATGTATATATATATATATTTACAAGCACAGGTTTTGGCCTATTTTGTATTTTGTATTTAATGATTTGTGCTTTTGTATCATGCAAAATAAATTGAATTAAATTGAATGGAAATGTGTATCGTAAATTAAAAACACAGTCTCAAAGACTTTCTAGATATCAACTTAAAGACATATTTCATGTTCTTAAATGTCAATAGGTGACGTACAATGCAAATTGACATTTTGGAGATTATTTTAGTCTTCGCAATAAAATAAAAAAGGAATAAATCAAAATGAAAATAGAGTATTTGAAGGGAAAATTAATGTATTGAAGAAGAAAAAAACAAACACAAGAGAATGATATAAGTTGATATGTTTTTAGGGCTTTTGGAAGATAAATAAATCAACAGATAGATATAGGCCTACAAGCAATAAACCGGTTTACTAACATATTCAATTGTTTGCATACTTCTTACTTGCCCGAGACTTGCCCGACATAATGATATTAACGAATAATATACGCAGACTGGATTCCGAATATTATAGCTCATAAAAGGGTAATGGATAAACCGTCACTAGGTCCCCAGGAAAGAAACATCCATAAATTTAATCATGTAAGTAAACCGGTCTATTGAAGAAAATAGGCTGAATATGTTACATAATGCAGGGAAGGAGAACAGGGGGGGGGGGGGCGTTTCATGAAACAATATCATGTTCAGCGACAATTTAGTCAGCGCTGACTAGATTTTACCAATCACAGGCCTGGAAGATAGTCGGTGACAAAAGAATTGTCGGTGAACATGATATTAGTTGGTGAAAACCACCGACTAATTGTTTCATGAAACGCGCCCAGAACGTCAGGAAGAAACGGCATGTAATGACTGTTACTGTAGAGGGCGCTAAACAAATTTGCCAAACAGTATGCCCCAAAATTTCTAAAAGAATATGATAAAAAAGAAGATTTTTGAATTCATAAAATTTACGTTGATGAGATAACCATTTACGTATGTGTTATGTTGTAAACTTGTCACTCTTCGATGCTCTTTGCACTGCTATCGACTCAAGCTTCCTTGCTTATGATAGTTGGCCTCTGCATTTATCTTGATTATTTTTACTTACCTCCATACTTTCAAGCTTTCAATTATGCATTTTTTTAAATATTTTATTTTGTGTGTATTAAGTTGTCACTCTTGATGTAAATCAGTTATATTATATACTATTATTGTTATTTGAATGTTTTATATTTGATTTATCAATAAATGCAGAAACATCTGCTAAAAAAAAAAATAAAAAAAAAATATGATCCGACATAATATTATGACGCCAATGTTATTTCGGGCTTTATTTCGTTAAGGATATAGGGCTGGGATTACGACGATGTGTAGTGATTGGTTGAGGATTAAAGACTGAAATTAGGAGTTCGCGTAGTTTAGGAAATTGACTGTGGAGCGATTGTCGCAGGAGCAGGGGTCGAAGGGGCGTACTCCTGAAATAGAGAGGAGGAGTAGGAAAGGGGCGTGTCGGGGATCAAACTCACAGACAGGTTAGTTTCGTAGTTCACAGAAAATAAGAAGGAAAACAAGTCAAAATAAAATCAATGCATATACAAATTTACCCCCCATTTCGAAATGTCTACAAATTCAATGACCTCAAATATGACACAGGCATAGGCGAAGTTGGAGGGGGGGGGGAATAAGATTGCCGTACCCCTTGTTCATGCTGTTCGCCTGCTTTAAAAACTTTTTAAAAAGGGTAATGCATGGAACAATGTGGACCTATAATTTTGTGTGTCACCACCCACCCCTCCCCCCTCCACCCCCTCTCCCCGCCACGTCCAGCAAGTCTGACTATACCAGTGGACACAGATAATGCAGAAGGGTCTACGCTTTATCAAGTTATAGCGTTAAACGAAATGTGGGGCCAGTTGAATATTACTTCCTTCAAATTTTAACTCTACATTTCTTGCAAATGTAACAAATCCTTGACATGCTTGATAGCATTGACTAATGTGTTCAGAGGTAGGACAATATTGGTAATGGATAAAATTTGGAGCAGTTGCTTCCTGACATGCAACTTATGTCATAATTTGAGCATTTTCCAATCAAAATCAGTATAAATATCCCGCCCATTATACCCTGGTAACGTACGCATGTCATACCACCTTAATGTTCAGTAATGGTTCCATTGTTAAAACTCGATCACTATAGCCCTGATCCTACCCAATCGGTACAAATAACTTACTCTAGGATTGAAATACATACTACAATAGTCTCCACATAATATGGTTACATGTACTCATTTCAATTGGGTAGGATTATAATAAACACGTCTTATTTGTGTCATAGAAACTTTCCCCATTTAATCAAGGAAATTAGGATTTGTTTTTCAATCGATGTAACGAATTTGGTTATTCTATGACGTACCTTTCGAAAATTGCATTCATTTCAAATTACTCGTTATTTAATGAAGAAATAAATAAATTACATCATAGAGTGGTGTAAAACCATATGTGCCATGATCTAAGTGCATGCATAGTAATTAAAAAAAAATATATATATCAAAAATTGATTTCTTTTAGTAAAGATCAGATAGGGGAGATGCTAAAAAGTGAAAAGGTGCAACATACAGTTGCCAATTTATGTTAGGGGGTGACTTTTTTTTTAAATCGTCACTTTTTCATATGTCATCGGATGTTCCTCAACATTTCAAAATGTGAGCCTGTGTTTCTACTTTTATCAAAACCAACTTAATATCAGCATGATCAGGGTTGATTTCTAATTGAAATCAACTTTTCATTTCATAATGTTGGCTGTTTTCTCGTTGATTAATGAGAATTAATTTTGGGATCAGTGGGGCATGATTTCATATAATGTGTAAATAAGGGTCGAGTACATAGAAGTATCGTTGTCGAGTGGTTTAAGCACTTGACTTGAAATTCAAAGGTCGTGGTTCAATCCCCGATACGGCACTAATGTCCTTTGGCAAGGCATTAATCTACATTTGCCACACTCGACCCAGGTGAGGTAAATGGGTACATGGCAGGAATTAATCCCTTGAAATACTAGAGCCCTGTATTAATGGCAGCCAGGCTAAAGCCGGGTAATAATTAATGCACCTCGGAATAGAATTTCT